CGATAGAAGCCTGCTGCAAAAAGGGTCTATGTAGGATGTTTCGTTTGAGATCAGGAATGAAGCACAGGGGTTGGTTGGAAGCGTTCTTTGAAAGATGTTGGGACTACTGTTTAGTAAGGTCCGCGCAGAAGCCCGGAGGCAGCTCCGACCAGAATTGAGCGTGCCGCAGTGCACAACAGCCCTAGCAGAGCATAACCTTACTTTGTCCGGCACTGGGGCGTGGCTCAGAAAGTAAACAACGATAACGATGTCGGGGTTACAACACAGCAGACCGTGGTTATCATGATCATTGTAGACAGATCCTCTAAGCAGTATTGGCTAAAGTACCGCGAGACTTCGTGGGTCACATCATACCCGTGTGTTCTAAGTACGGCCTTACTGGGCTTATCCTCTATGTAACCTACTTAGCAAGGCTCCCTGGAGCCAGCCTCCAAGCCCTGAGCCCCCAGAGCCTCGAGTTTTCAAGTTGAAGGGAAGGGCACAGAAGAACAGGTAGAGTAATCTCTTGGGGGGAGGGGGGCGGTGGGGGGATGGGGGGGGGGGGGGGGGGGGGATATACAGTCCCTACAATCCTTGCATTCCCACGCTTAGCTTATTAGGGGTCAGAAAACGCAGCAAAGAGACCTGCCTGCACTACAACCTTCACAGTTTTTTAGATCCAAAGCCCTGCACGATCCCATGCAGAGGCATTCGGTGACCAAGGTTGATGCTGTGTCGCCTTCCGTCTAAACGTAGAGCCCTGATGTCTTGCATCTTATTGCAGAACTCTAATTTAATTTGTTGAAATTAATTCATATAAACCACTCTCTATATCTTAGCTGTATTTGGGGTCTCTAATTTCCAACCCCCCGCCCTCTGTACGGGCCTGAATAGTTGCGCCCTATCCCTCCCATGGCCACAGTCCAAGGTTTGCAGACCGTGGTGGCAACCTTGGAGGAGCATCAACCTTGGAGACAGCACAAAAATTTCGGGAGTTCGCGCTTTTCTTTTAATTTTTGTTGAGGAAGCTGGGAGGGGGGGGAGGGGTATGGGCTTGCAAGGTGTTTTGAGCTTTCTGGCTTGGCGGAGGGTGCAGTCAGCAGGATGCGCGTGCGCCAAGAAGAAATGATTGACTCAGGCTGGGTGATGCTGCCGATGAGCTTATGCTGGCCTCTCGTTTGCATAACTTCGCGAGCGGGGGTTACGCGCTTAGGGCTTCCCGGTTCAAGGGCCAAAGGTGTCTAGGGCCTAGGGTTTGAGGTTTCATAGTTTCAAAAAGGCGGCAAGACTCCAGCAAGATCCCTTCGTGTCGGAACCCTTCGCCTGATCCGCTCAGGCTTCGGCCTATCAGAGCCTTGCTGGATCATATCGCGCCGGATGCCGAGACTGCGTGGGTCCATGTCGGGATTTCGTCTAAAGGTCCAGGACCAGGTACATTTGGCACAGGGCCTGTTGTCAGTCATAAATAGGCACCAACTCAAAATCCCGAGATGGTGGTGTGTCTGTTGCAGTTCCGGCACAGTGATGCTTGTGCTGCAGGGACTAAATGTGGGCCTCCTCAAAGCATTTCTAGCAGGATAGATCTATTGAGGCACCAATGTGTCATTGAAATGGTGGAGCGGACCCTCGTTATGCACACATTCCTCTCATGACACGTTTGAGGCTTTTTGGGGTTACTCGTGCTTGTTCCTCCCTGGGCAGGTTGGGGGCTTCTTGCTATTTCGGGTACCTCATGTAGGTACCTGGATCCTACGGTTAAGGGTTCTGAAGGGTCCTTTGTATAAAGGATCCTGTATCTGGGTTCCAGTACATAAGTGGCAAGTTATTTTGGGGATGCTTTTGAGGCTGCCGGCCAGCATGGACAAGCACTGCCGGGACCTTGGAGAAGTGTTGTGCTACTTACTGCTCCTTGCCTAGTACGCAATTGCATAGTGTGCAGATTGCTGGGTTATGGGAATGGCTTAATTACTAGGGAACTGCAAACGCCACACGAAAGCATGTGCATGTGGCATTCGGGAAGGAAAAGTACGAAGCGGGTAAGTAGAGGCGCAGCCAGCGCACACAGAGAGCAGCATGTCGCTTGCGTGTAGCCTCATGCATGAAACCCTGTCACCCTAAAGCTTAGATCAGTCGACCGAGTTTTCCGTGTTCGAAGAATGTAGTATTGCTCTGCCGGTGTGTCCTCATAGGGTTTTGCATTCCTTCTTGGTTGATGGGAAGTGAGGCAATGCTACAACCTTTGCCTTGAGCTTCGAGAGGCCAAGCTTGGCGCACACCTCAGATGAGCCGTTTAGACAGTAAGCCCGGCTCCCCCATTACGGGCTGAGGGTCCAGGGCTTACAAATACCCTTGGGTATTATGAAGGGTGCGCTTTTTGAAGCAAAGCTGCGAGTTTAGGCTCTGTTGGCTTTGGGGTGAAGCGCTTAGTGTCGAGGCTCTTGACGAGAGGCTCAAGGTTTCCGGGTTTTCTTAGCAACGACCACTGTCTCTCTCGAACAAGGATGGCCTGCCAATGACCAAAGTGATGTTGATCCCTTTCTGCTGCGGTGTGCCTAAAAGACCCTGTTTATTCAGTGAACTCTGCTTCCAGGTCCGCCCACCTTCCGAAATTCAAAAACACTTGACCGTCACGACTTGAATGAAAAGACCACACACCGTAAAAAACCAGGCGTCCTATTCTAGTAGTGTCAAGTAGTTGGCATCCTTGACATCTAAACATGAAGTTTTCATGTGTGTCCTAACACATACCTAGCATGTGATTCCTCTTTCCTTGTCTTACAAAGGCTATCATCAGGAACACCGTGGCGCCACTGGCCACACTTTGCGCGGCAACAGAGAAACCAGAAACTGCAAATTCACATCTGGAGCAGGCTGTAACCCACTGTCTTCGTTCTTCGAGACCTATCGTTTGAATTCTTTTGAGATCGGAGACTTCAGCATTCTTCGCTATGGGTCCTTTAACTTCCCTGGGCTATCGGGGATGCAGGTAGGACGTCCCTTTGCAGTCGCGGTTGACAGCATCGGCAAGGGCAAAGGTGGGATATCAGCTTTCGATGTTGTCTGCAGAGGTTTCGTGTTTGGGGGTAGGGCTTGGGCTTCGGGGTTGAGGGTCAAGGGTTCTGGGCTTCAGTCGCTAGCCCCGCCCAACCCACAGAACTCCAGTTCAAGCCATTCAAACATATACCGCCAACCAAGGTGCTCCAGGCCTGCAAGCGCTAGGTTAAGATCCACAAGACTGCAACACCCTCTCAAGGCTTCATCCTCTGAGAGGAGGCTTAGTTATAGCCCCAAACCACTAGCTTTGCTGGTCTACGACATCGTCAACGCCCCACCCATCACAGGCGCGGAGCACTCTCAGCTAATCCCCGTGCTCAACAACCTCGGCGCACAGGCAGTTGTGGGACGTTAGGATTTAGAACGAGGGTGTTGTAGTACAAGACCGTGTGGTGGCACTTCGTGTGACATTGGTGCTAGAGGCCAAGCATGGAACCGTTCAGCAGACAAGCTGCACATTGAGCACCTATTGATTCAGAGCCCTCGCTTTGTACTCGCGCAGATTGTGATCTGATGTCCGTTTTGACTAGTTCGTTCTTCCATCATACTTTCTGGACATAGGAAACCAGGACTTCGCTATCTAGTTCATACGCACGACAAGGGAGAATTCCAACCCCTCCGCCTCTCGCTCACTCACTCTCTCACTCTCACTCCCTCCCCGTCTCCCGCTCTCTCTCTCTCTCTCTCTCTGTCTTTCTGTGTCTCTTGCTTGTGCGTGTTCAACTGGGCCCAGCAGTCCCGGAATCGGGCATCAGATGTCTGGGCTCGACTCGAGTTTCAGATAACCGAACAGAGGCGCAACAACTGCTGCGGTACAAAGAGGCCAGATCAGATGGCAGCTGCCCTGTTCGATGTTTTGCAGGGTTTCCAGGGATACCGAGGCAGCATGGAATGCGGGTCGGAATAATTAAGAAGTGATTGTAACCCCCTTGTAACCCAATACAACTATAGCACAAGATGCCCACATCCCTTGTTCTAAATATTCAGGCCTCTAGACCACATTCGTTAGGATTCATTGGGGTTTTAATAGAGGTCTCGGAAGCAAGCCGCCAACACATAACCGCGTGAAGGCATGCATGCACAACACCAGCCAGCATGAAGCATGAAGGTTACTGGACTGTGAATGGCTGTTGTGATGCAGATTCGTTCTTGTTTAGAAACCTCGGCAGTCGCTGTCATGGGTCATGGTCGTGCGGGTGCTGATGACGAGATGGGTTTTGAGATCACGCTTGGTGCTGGCATAAGACATGGCGTTAATAAAGGTAATCATCAACATCCTGCTCTTCCTGGTAAGAATCGGGATAGAACCTTAACGTGCTTAAATCATTATCGCAGAAGGTAGTTTGAAGATCTTCTCGGCTGCTGCTCCTGTTAAGTGAAGAAGAGACTCATGCTTCAACACCAAATTGCGCAACAGCAATTTAGGGTATGGCAGTCATCTAGTCGGCGTCATGCTGCGAGTGCGCGTTGACGATAGTGTGACATGCTGTATCATGATTATAGTGCCGTCAGCATTATCCAACGCCGATGACCGTCGAGTATAGGATCGACACGTAACTGCCAGTCTCCAGAAGCAACGGCATGTTTTCGTGCGTTCAGGCTGCAGACTTCTATCGAAGAGCCCTGTCCCTGGAGAGGCAGAGTTTGGGTACTGAGCGCGGACCTTACATGCATGGCAGGGACAACATGGCTTTCGCTTGATGGCCGAGTCCTTCATTTAAGCAACCAGAAACAATGCAAGCCTGATGTAAAAAAAAAAAAGAAACCAGAAACAATAGGTATTCAACAAGAAGATTCGGACGAGACTGCAGCCCAGCCAGCCCAAGGCATTTCGCAACGGCGACGACATTGGCCAATTTGGGCTCGGTATTGGCTAAGCCTGGGCCCAATGCACAGACCAGCAGCTATGCCCGCCTAAACCTTAAACGTTTCACCTTCAACCCCAAACCTCAACCTGTATGCCCTAGACCTGTAGCCCGGGAGATCATCTCGCGTGACGGAACTATGTTGCCTGCCTTGTGCGAGAGTGAGAGTCGAAACCCCTAGAAACGATTGCGGTGCTTCAGAGCTGGTCAATGCACCTGAGGCTATTGCTTGGAAGAACGACCTCTATGCTGTTGTCTTGACCCATAGCCTCGCCTGCTTCGTTGAGAGCGATTGCCAGAAGAAGAGAGCACTCTTCAGGGCGCCCGCAACATGCTGCGAAGACCCACTTGGAAGGAACCCTGTAGCATGCAAAAAGTTTGTGTTGAGCAACGTCCATACGTTCCCGCATTCGCGTCGTGAAGGAGGCAATCTCCTTTTCACGTCCATGTTGTCTCAACTCGTTCCGGGAACACGTTCCCACTTGCACGCGAACGTTTTGGGCGCTCTGGGCAGAACAAGCCTAACTGCAACACAATGCCTGGTGTCCTCCCGAACTGATATGCCTTAAGGAAGTCAGTCTATTCAAGTGACCATGACCACAAGAGGATGTATAGTAATGAAAGAGCTTCCCATAGCATGGCAAGCTTGGAGCTTAGGCATCCTTGCAGGACCCGCACGAAACTCTACTAATAGCATATACAGCTCGTATACAACTCTTCTAACCTTAAAACATCCGCTTTAAGCCTCAACCCTAAACCCTAAACCCTACACCCCTAAACCCAAACCCAAAACTCTAAACCCTAAACCCCTCATCCTTACAGAAGCCATGGCCAAAGGCTCAAAGAGCATGTGGATGCGGTGACTTGCTTGCGCCGGGCCCTCGAGGACCGCGCAAGGGGGGAGTTCACAGGAGAACTGGTTCGGAGCCCCCATGTAAAATACACGGGAGACTTACATTCTGAAGAGAAAAAAGGAATTGATTAGATAGTTTATGTAACATGTTGGTGCAGGTGCAGCAGGGTCGAAGCAGGATGATTGCCGAGGTGACCAAGATCCTGGAGCATCAAATCTCCAGAAAGATGCCTCAGCCGCGATGTGGAGTATGCCAGCACTGCCTATGAGACAGAGCAAACCCCGGTCCAGACTGCCGCGCATGGCCACTGGCAAAGCGAAGCCTGGGACATCGGCTGGAGCTGTGACGCCGACGGCTGGGGCTGAGGTGCCGAAGTCGGCGCAGAAGACGACGGGGCAGTGAGTCCCATTAGAGGGTTTAGAGAGGATTTTGTGGTTTTAGGGCTTGCGGGTTCGGGGTTTGGTGGGGTTCAGAGACCCCTTCGAGGAGCATAAGATGGGAGTGTTGCAGCTTTCGCTTCAGAGTTCTGTCGGGTTTGCTGGTTCAGAGTCCGAAAACGCATGTTCATATCTTTTTGTGTGTGGGACATAGCCTGCAGAGTCCACCTTCCAGAATCCCAACAGTACTGGTAAAAGGGTGTGGAAAAGTCTGTGTGTCTGTATAGAAACGTAAACGCATACATACGTTTGCTAGGATTTTATGGGCTTTAGCCAAACTGGCTTTTGCATCGGATTTAAGAGAGAGACAACTTCTCGATTTTGGGACCAAGGGTTTCGCCCCACCGAGTCTAAACGATGGAACCCGGTTCAGAAGGCAACGTCTAAACTCGCATGAAGGTCGGATAGGATTTGGTGGGTTCTGTTAGGGCTTGCCCTTATAACCATAGATGCGAGAGCGAGGCCGGGCGAGAGAGAGAGAGAGAGAGCAAGAGAACGAGATAGACATAGATTTATCCATCTGTATACCTATATACCTGTATACACATGTCTTGAGTCCAAATCGCAAGGCCAAACAAGGCTTGACAACCCGAAGCCCTAAGCCTGAGGCCCAAAGCTGAGACTCTGGTTCACTTCTGAAGGGGTGGAGCCCCGAAATCCCCTGAGCCGCAAGAGCCTTAAAGCCTGATGGCCACGAATCACGTTCGGTTTGGGTTTTGGGCTTTACAATTAGAACAGGGTTTTGAGAATATTTTACTATAATTACAATAAGGTGTCTTATGATGGAATCAGTAGAGTCTGGGTTCGAGAAAGCGGGTACCTTATGATTCAAGAGTTTGCAGCTAGACACGGGGATTGGAAAGGCTCCTTGAAGTCTCAAAGCTTCAGGCCCCACAAGCCTGTTTGCTTTTATCCGTATATCCAACTGAAAGAGCAAAATTGTCGGATCCATCCACACGCTGCAGATGCAGCGTGCAGAGCTCGGGGAGGATCACCCCACCTTGGCCACGACTTTGCTGCTTTCACGCATTGATGTGTTGTCGGTAAGTTTCTTTAAGGGCTGTGAGGTTTTTCAAAGTGGACACTCAGCGAGGCTTGGCACGCGACAGAGTTGCCTGCTGTATGGGTCAAGCTTTCCTCGAGAGCGAATGCATATTCCATTGATTCGAGGATGACACGGCAGAGAAGCGAGACAGCAAGAGATGCCAAATGCTTGCAGGTATAGTCTTACGTTGTCTTGGGCTCTCTAGGTCAACCTGCCTTTCAAAGCAGAACCCGCGCAGAGATGTTCCCTCTTTAGCAGGGATTGGCCTCCGAACGCTGAGGCACAACTTGGGCAACGCTTTGGCCTCCTGCGGCCACGTCGACGAGGCTTCAGTAATTCCCCCCAGTAGTTGCCACATAACCTAGGAAATAGCCAGGAAAATTATAGCTAACCATCGCACCCTAGAATGGGGATATCTATCCTAAGATTAAACCTGGTTTGATGTGTGTGGGGTATCTTGCGGCTGTCGCTCGCAGGGCATGAAGACATACATTAAGTCTGACAATCCAACCCGACCTCTTTGTGAGTGCTTGATACCCTTTGTTGGCCGGTCGTGTTCGATGTTTCCTCGCTTGGTCCCTAAACCCTAAACCTTAAACCCTAAACCCTGAGCCCTAAACCCCTAAAGTCTTGAGACCTGCAGGGGTTGCTCGGGTAACCGCTATGTTTCACCGTCAGGACCTCATGAGACGGAGTCCCAGTGCAATGGGCGCGTACCACAAACCCTCAGCCCCTCTTTTGCCCCTGAGCTCTTGGGATTTACAAGGGGTTTGCATTATTCCCATATGGGCGCCGTGTCATACCCTTTAAAGAAGGACAGGCCTTGAATTAGGAAGGGATCCTATATTAGGGCCCCCCTTTTTTCGGCAACCCCCACATGACTGGCTCTTGCTTCGGCGTGTTTTGAGGGGTGGAAGTCACGGACTTAGGGCTCAGACTGTTTCGGTGGGGGACTACACAAGGGGCTTCCCGACCTTTCTTTCAGAACCTGGGAGGCCCCAGACCCTCCACACAGATGGACGAACCCAAGTGGGAGTTTCCGAAAATAAGGGGTACCTTATTTTGGGGTCCTTATAATAAGGATCCTATTATTTAGGGTGCTATATTAGGGTCCCCTATTTTCGGAACCCCCCAAGTATTGAACCCTGCGATCT